CAAATGCATATAATTATTACAGGTAGTCTTCTGATATATTTTCCGTACTTCTAAATTTTGTAAGAATTATACCTTGCTAAACGCTAAATTACACCAAAGCGGTTTTAACCTTAGAAATACCAACCTATCGAAGCAGCTCTGCGTTGCCTCGTATTTAGGATTATTATTAGGGCACAGGAACATTTCGAAGCGCCCCCAGTGATTTGCAGTCAGCTCTACTTCGACGTCAATATCCTGAAACAGGAAAAAATATTTGCAACCATTTCTACACCGACTATTGTACATTTTCATGGGAAATTTTGATTTACATCTTCTTAAAGATTTCATATAGCGATAAGATCTGTATGTTCCTTGCGACTGACAATATAACACACAGAAACTATTTTGAGCCGAAAAAGAAATCGATATGAAGGCGATTTGTTCGTTTCATAGCATGGATAGGGTTCACTCACTCACTCATGGAGCTGAACACTTCTTGAGAAGCTGCTAATTGTGTAGCTTCTCAAGAACTTCACGGTATTTTACGGAACCCGGAGGTTTATTACCGTGTTCACAAGAGCCTCCCACTGATCCCTATCCTGAGCCATATTATTACAATCCTTACCATCCCATCCTATCTCTCTAAGATCCATTCTAATATTGTCCACCCACCTACGCCTTGGCCTTCCCTGTGGTCTCTTTCCTTCCGGCATTCCCAACAATTGGGTTACGAAACCCAAATTTCTTACAGTCTTTAATGTTATTTTTTTGGCATCCCACTGCTCACGTGACTGTGACAACATAGTTTAGTGGAGTGCCTCGTGTTATATAACGCATAAGAATTCAATAACTTTTCGAGGTTTCGATAGTTTGCTCTGATTCCATGATCAGGATAGTGTGAGGTTAATCATAGAATGGAAATAAATGTGTTACGGAAAAGCCATTAAGTATGCCACGGCAAGAGCAGCGAAAATTATGCTGAGATTAAGCTAAACTGCAAATCTTTTGCAGTCAGAAGACCAAAACCGACTTTGCTTAACCTGGCGACGCTTACCGTCTCGTTGCTGATGACGGAAGTGAGAAGAATTCTGTAACGTCTGTTTTACTAAATTGCAAAGCCTCTTATAGCCTTGTATGATTCGACTCTCTTTATACCGTTTGTAAATTAACATGACACAAACTAATTCCATTATCCTTTACTCAGTAAAGATGTTAGTAAATATTCTGAATCACTAGCTCACTTCATATTTCGCCCGTACACAGGCCTACAGCGCCACTGTTACAAAACAAAAGTTTCGAGATGGATACGTAATCTCTTTGGCTTACTGCATAATCAGCGGTGAGATACACATACGTATTTTTAAGCCTTTATAAAAAAATTAAGAACTCATTTTTACTCAAGGGACACAGAATTCCTGTAACCAGATAACGGTGAACATTATATAGGGGTAGCTTCTCTCTAACCCAGACACCTCCTCAATCCAGACACTTGTAACATTTTCGCTATTTGTATTATTACGTGTTGTACATCAAATCCCTTTGGCTATACATTATCATTCACTCGTGCAGCTGAGTCCTTCTTGAAAAGCCGCCAACTGTGCACCTACTCAAGAACGTCCCAGCATTTTACGGAACCCGAAGTTTCTTTAGCGTACTCACAAGATCCCTCTAGTGGTCGCCATCCGGGTTAAACTTCGACGTCGATTTCTTGTTCATTAAATTTTCAGATTCCCCACACCACTCTGACATGTAGACGATAATACATTCATCGATTTAGACATGTCGGCAATGACAATTACGTCACTGTCCTGAAGACCTCCTGCGAATGCGATTTGCATGAATCTGCACATTTCGTATGTAACTTAACACACTACTTATCTTAAGTCCTGCATTGTACAGAAAGCTTAGGCGATGTACTGTTAATCAGCAGAGAATTCGTAATTCGCCTGCTGCAGCGTCTACAATGTCTTGAGTTGTATCCAACGCCTAATATTCTCTTTGTGTTGATAACAAACATACACATGTAACAGTAATTCCTGCTGAGCAGAGATCTTTTATTGAGTAGCTAATAGTTGCTTCTCGAGGGTTCTGACGATGGTGTATCGCACACAGAATTAGGTTTTTGGCCTTGTTCTATTCTAGAGAATTGAAAACACGACATTTCGGAAACTGGATCTGTTTTCTTTCTCAGGTGAACGGGAGAAGACACCTACTCAGTTGGGTTCCTTAGAAAAAGCTAATCTCAATCATTGGATTAGCTCTTTCTACGGGGCACAACTGAGTGTCTTCTCCCCTTTCACTTGGGGAAGGAAACTGATACAGTTTCCGAAACGTCGCGTTTTCCATTCTCTAGAATATCGGATGATTTAAAAAGTTAAAAAAAACAACAATTCTAAGAGTTGCTGTTCTAGTCAGTCAACCATTTTCCTTTATGAGAACAGAAGTATCATTACCAGGGCCCGGATTTTGATGGCCTGAAAATATTTAAAAAATGACCTATAAAATGACCGAAAAAATCCAGAAGAATGACTTAAAATATGACCCAAAAATGTAATATGCAGGGCGTGGATTTTGATGACCTGAAAATTTTTAAAAATGGCCTATAAAATGACAGAAAAAATCCAGAAAAATGACCTAAAGGAGAAAAGAAAGAACACTTCACTTCCATATTATTCACATTTCAGAAAACATAAGAGGAAAAATTCGTTAAAATGGCTAAAAATGACAAGAAATACCCTTAAAAGTCCAAAAATGTAACAAAAAATTACCCCCAAAATGAAAAAGATGACATGTCATCAAAATCCGGGCCCTGCTCATTACCGTTTAGATAGGAGACAGCCAAGAGCCGGTGTCCTGGTACAGGCGAATCCACTCCACCCTCTCACACTCTACTATGACAGGTATTAATTTCTGGGTTTCAAATTGTCTGTGTTAGATAATAAAATGTCGGAGTGGCTTAAAGGCAGGAGGAGATTTATCTCAGGGCCTAATTAATTAAGCACCATGCCGTTATGAAGACGTATGGAGGGGCGGAGTTTTAAATCCATCATTCGTAAGCTTGATATTAGATGGAGGTATGTGGTCAGTTTCACGCCTCTGACGCCTTAACCCTGGTATCCAGTGCATAGAGGGCTGGGTGGGCCACGGAGCCCTTCTGGACGCTAGAGAGGAGGGAAATATCTTTTGGCCTGTCGCAGAATGCGTTAAGACGCGTAGTAAATAAAGATACATGAATTCTGTTCATAGCACATAAATCAGGCATAAGGATATAAATAACGGGGATACACACAAAGCAGTGTGTCCAGTTAACAAATGCTGTATGCTTGAAGATGCGCCAAGCATGAAAGAAAATAAAAATATTTTCGAATTTAAAATAAGGACACACAGACCATATTAAGTGGGTCCCACGTCAACACGGCATTACGCGTCCTCGGATTGCGGATGGAGAAGACGCCCTCCAGATACTGAAGGCAGCTGCGAATATATTGTAGAAACGGTCACGGACAGCCGACAAGAGATGGTCCTCCAGCTTGGGGGGTTGAACGTGAGGCTAACAACTCATCATAAAAAAATATGTTTGTTACAAAATGTCACAAAGAGCCTGCGACTTGGAAAATTTTATGGATAAGAACGACGTAAGCTATTTTAGAGAGACTGGATTGATCTGGCTCAGGATAGAGACCAGAGAAGGTCTCTTGTGAACACGATAATGAACCTTCGGGTTCCATAAAATTTTGGAAAATTCTTGAGTACCTGCACAGCTGACGGCTTCTCAAGAAGGGTTCAACACCACGGAGTGGGTTAGTTAACCAATACAGGTACGTCGTACGTGTAATTTGATCTTGCTCAATAAGTTGTAAAAACACGGGTTAGTTGATGCAGAAGATTTCTGAAGGCGTCCAAGAAAACCTGTCAGTGTAACTTGTAATGAGTCAGTTGAATCCAGCCTTCACTTTCACACAAAATTTCACAAATATATATCATCCCAGCTCATCCTCTGTCCAACCTATGATCTTTCCAATGCGCTAAACTCTAGCATATCTCGGTTTAACGATCCTAAAAGTATCAAACAGGGAATACAAAATGCCATGTTAGTCTTATCTACAGCTTCATATAGCTTCTTATAGAGAGAAATTAGGCTAATGAAATTTCCATATTGTTTTTTCAGCTTCTGAACCAGTTGATCGATTTTCACGAAATCTAGTATGGACCATATGCTACTAGACGCCTCACCAACATTTTACTTTTTCAGTTTCTGCAATCAGAAATAACAACAAGAATCTGTGTTAAAAGATCGGCAATTTTTTTTATTGCTAGTGGGGTGGGACTAAGTCCCTTGTATTGCGGCCACTTCTGGCCTATTGTACCAGCCCCAGATGATAGGTGAGGGTGATTGTGGAGCAATTGGTGGACTGAAGACTGGCAGTGGAAACCGAAGTACTCGGAGAAAACCTGCCCCAATGCCAATTTGTCCACCACAAATCCCACTTGACCAGACCTGGGATTGAAACCGGGCCGCCGCGGTGGGAAGCCAGCGACTAACCGCTTGAGCTATGGCGCGGCCCAATGATCGACAATAGCACCGCTTGATTAAGGGCCTCAAAATGGTAAGTGGAATAGATCTTCGAAAAATATTTGTCCTTTTTTTTATACAACCGTCTCTGTGAAACATAAACATGGTGTCAATGCGAACATTTCTTTAAGTTTTCATTCTTTTTGCGACAAGTAAGTAAATCCTGGAACTACACAAATCAAATATGGTACGGTAAAAGATGATTAGGGCCGGTCACGGTGGCCGAGCGGTCTAANAAGTCAAATATGGTTCGGTAAAAGATGATTAACATATCGCCAAATTGCATACAAAGTACTGTTCGAGAGCCAGCAACCACAATATTTACGACAGCGTGAAATTTTAAAGTTATATCAAACAAATTTATTCCAGAAGGAAAATTTATCTAAGTAATATGCCCAACACAAAAATAAAATGAAATAAAATAGAATAATAGTTGTAATTCATCTGTAGGAATAGAAAACTTTGCAACAAGAAAAGAGTTTTTATGTTCTGCACGGAACCTCTTTTTTATTAGCTTACCTGACCGGAAGTATAATGGCGGCTGATAATGCCCTTCGCGAATTGGCCCCCTGCCTCATGGGGTCGCGGCTCCGTGAGGTGCCACGGGTCTCCACATAGCCCACAGCGGCCCTGATTCTGCTCCCACTGCACTGCGGACACACCATGAGAGATCAGCCACCGCGCCCCCCAATCCGAAAGCAAGAGCACTGGTCATTTCGTTACTGATTTATTTGCAGTTTCAGATTCCTGTAGCAGCCATTTCTCGGCATATCTTAACACTTAAAAATAAAATTTTGGGTACTTTCAATGATAAAAATTGTTTCAAATGGAAATCTTCACAGTGACCTCCGCATCCCTACAATCCAAGAAGTCATCAAAACAAAAACTGCTAGGCACATACAAAACACAGAAGATCACCCAAATCCACTACTCAGCCAAATACTACGTCAGAGGAGAATTAAGAGACAGTGGCCAACAGATAATAATTGAAAACTCTGACGTAACATCGCTGGACGTTAACCTCAACACACCTCAGCTGTAGCTAGGATACCTCGCCCGGATCAACACATTAGCTTATAGAATGCACTGTATTCTGATTGCTGATCATGCATTATTAAAAAAAATAGAAATATATTTTTCCCCAATGGAGAGTTCAATTAAATAAAAACCAGTATATAAAGGGTCAAGTCAGGCCAAATAACCCTTCATGAAAGACCTACTGCTTTACGTACTAAGATATCCTACATAAAATTAACTTAAAATTTTTAAATATTTCTCTTCTTCAGTTGCATCACAATATTCTCTGCAGTACGTCTCTTATACCTGTGCAGTAAGTGAATTACTTCCAGTCACATCGTGTGCCTCTTCACAGTAATAATGTCACCGAGGTGATGAGCTCTCAGCAACAGTCAAAATATTCAAGTGGATAATTTATCGGCCAAAGACACTCTGCCATGCGACTCTCAAATCGAAGCACAAATATTGTAGCGGATGTAAAGAAAATATGACGAAATTTCCTCATTCTTTCAGGATTATTATTGGTAGGCATTGGTGTTCACTTCAAATGTTTTGTAATCACTGAGGCTGATAAGAATATGGACAGTAATTTCCTTGCTACTGAATAATATATGATTCTTTTGTGCCAATCCCTGATAACTAAAATGATTATAATCATAGAAAGATATACAGAGAGACTGACAGATATTAACTCGATGCCCGTTACTAGGATTACGATGAACAGACTTCATTTAGACATCCGTCAGACAAGCTGATATAAGTCATTACTCCTCATATGCAGTAGAAAATATTATATATTATATATATATAATGTAACTCAATATGAACATAATGCCATTAGCCATAATTTCACATTGATAACTTTCGAGTGCTCCTGAGACCCTGAGAGCTATGCCGGCGGTAGCGTAGCTACTGGTAGGGTCACCCATGCCGGACAGGTCAAGGGGTATGAGCCAGACGAAGAGGGATAACCTAGTCCTCAAGGTTGGGGGTTGTGCGTGAGGCTAACAACCTTACACCGTAAAAACTAAACTGTTCAGAAACCAGACAATCAGCCTCGGATGGGTGGTTTGAACGGAAATCAACATCAGCGAAGGAGCTGAGATGCGTGGAGAATATATACCTATGCTGATCTCCGTAAAATGAAAGTGAGAGGATAGGGAGGAAAGATGAAGAATGGAGAAGAATGGGGGTAGATTGTTCAGGAGGCCAAAGCTCATTTTGAGCTGTAATGCCGAGGGGAAGGAAGGAAGGAACTGTCTTCAAATACAAACATAACAGCTGTACGGAATTATGACTTACTTCTCACTTAAACTTTTCTGTGTATTTACTAATATGAGTGCAAATACTTTTATAATAGTAGGTTCCACAGAAAGATGAAGGCATAATGTCGATCACTGAAATGCCACGAATAACTTCTAACCCTTGAGAGATTGCAGAGAGGTCTATTCTGCGACCGATCCTTCCAACATTAAAATGTACTCAGGCCGAAGGTTCAATATTTCTAAACCAGAGTTTCGTGGATATTGCGGATAGGGCCGATCTTGAAATAATTTTTATCTTGTCGCCATTAACTCATTTAAATCAAGAAATGATTTTATCTACTAATCCTGTATTTAAGCATCCCGTTGTACTATTACTATATCTACTATTGTTTATTGTATTACACAGTCCGTCAACAATGCAAGAAAATGTTTTAGCATAGTAAGACACCTGAAGATGGCCATTTAGGGCCGAAACATGTTGTGTCGTATGTGAGAGAGTGAGAAAGAAGGAACGATTTGTTGCATTGTTGACGGATTGTGTAGTACAATAAACAGTATTATTTATCTACTAACGCTATCCAGGCCATGTATAAAATCGTGTACGATATAGAATACGTGTCTCAGATCGAACTCAATGTTTGTCTGTGCCTGTAAGTGTGCTATATCTATTTCCCAATAGCCAGACTTCTGTTCAGCGTCTTTTCACAGCCATAAATGTGAACAAAACCATCAGAATTGGAATCCATCACACAGACTTCAATGTGCGTAAATGGTTGTAACAGAATAACAACTGGATGCCTTAAACCTCATTCTTCTTTGTAATTAATGCCTAATTAAGGAAAGCAACTTGAACTCACCCGCGTGGCCCCCACAGAACAGTTCGTTGTCGTTGTAGTTTACCGGATTTGGAAACCCGAATCTCCACATGCTGTTGCGTGCGGGGGGGTTCATAAGACGCCCGTGTCCACTGACCCCGTCCAGATGCAGGGCCTGCAGAAAATTAAAAGCGAGTACTGTATTAGTGTAGAGTGAGATGATACGTTTAGAAGTCAAATGCATTTAAAAATATTTAACACGAAGTATGGTAGTCTAATAGAGTGACTTCGGCGGCGTGTGATTTTCCTTTTCTTTCCCTGTGTCACTTCACGTGTCATGCTTTTTAAGCGTTACCTTGTGCGCTTGTTCACAATACCGGATTTAATCTTAACAATCCGTGTATCTGTCAATGTCCTTAATTATTAGCCTTCTCAAATATTTTTTCTGTTATTTTTTTTTTCTTGTGGACTCTAAAGAATAATACAAAGAATTATGTAAATTCAGAACAAAAGGAACACGAAAAATTATGTTTATGTACTTTATACATATACGAGTATATATGTATTACATAGAAGAGAACACAACTTTGGATTAAGGATTACAAAAGAAAGCCATGATGTCTGTCACTCTTTGTCCTTCGCACAGACACGTGCCACTTGCCCAACATATGGCAAATTGTCAGTTAATGGTTAGAATATTCAAGGTCTCCTTCTGCTGTTATGTTTGATATTCCTGTCCTTCAAGTGTGGATATAGGAGAGCTGATAAAGATCTGTGCCACTTCAAAACGTTAATTGTTTTACAGGGTGTAACGAATTCCACTACTCTGGTGACAGCAATAGGGAGTCAGTTCGGGGTTTCGTGGTAACATCTGTTAAGTGTGTTAGAAAAACTCGTATCTGACGAATTGCTATAGATGTCATCAGGCTATCATGGCACTTGCTAGCTGATTGCGAGTGATGGCATCATGTTGTGTTGTGCCGAAGTTTTTGGAGGACCTGGATATCTCCTTATTTAAGTCCACGATCTCCGAAACACTTGAAAATCCATTTTCTAAGCCCAAGCCTACATAGAGAGCCGACCGTGTTCTGCCAGAAATATAAACACTTAAACAACTACAAATATTCTTAAAATTAAAAATAAAAAACAATACAAAAAGTAAAAGTAAACAAATTAAAATGCGGAAAAAACAAAATTGTCTTTTACAGTAAAAAAAGAAGATAAAGTTATTCCTGTAACAGGTCATGAAGGCCCATAGGGTTGTGAGACGTTGAGGGTCTCACATTACCTAGATAATCGGCTCACAGATGAGGTCAGCCTTACGCTCCGGCCGCCTTTTAACTGCCACGAAAATTCCTGGTACTCATTTCTGTTAGAGGCTGAGTCGACCCCAGATGCATAGTGCGGCTGGAAGGATTACGTCAACTGAAAAAGATCCACCTCATCGGGACTCGAAACCGCGACTTTCCGGCTTGTAGCATAGTGTCTCAGTGTGACATTCTATTTAAGTTTTAAATTAGATTTCTTAAAAAAATGATGTCTACACGCGGTATAATAACATAAACGCAAAACAACAAACATTTAAATCCTAACGAACTAACAAAGAAATTCATTAAAATCAAACTAACATAATACTGAAATGGAAAAAAATATTTTGGAAAAGGGTCGATGACTCTTACCAAGTTAAGATTTTTGCATCTTCTACAAGGCAAAATTTTGTATGTGTACTCGTATATGTATTCGGCAAAGAAAGTTGCTACCTGAAAAATCAGTTAGCCAATTAGCAAACCACTGTTTTATACACCACGAATGAAGCTACAAATATAGCAGAAGTAATGCAACATTTCCATAAAAGTAAGATAGATCCAGGGCCGCGCCATAGCTCAAGCGGTTAGTCGCTGGCTTCCCATCGCGTCGGCCCGAGTTCGATCTGGGGTCTGGTCAAGTGGGATTTATGGTGGACAAAGTGGCGCTGGGGTAGGTTTTCTCCGAGTACTTCGGTTTCCCCTGCCAATCTTCATTCCACCGATTGCTCCACAATCACCCTCACCTATCATCTGGGGCTGGTACAATAGGCCAGAAGTGGCCGCAGTACAAGGGACTTAGTCCCACTCCACTAGCAATAAAAAAAAATAGATCCAAACAAGGAACAAATTTCAGTGTCTTTCGACGTGCAGAAAGGCACATACATGTGTATGTCACTAATTCCTTCGTGTGCCTTGACATTTCTCAGTAAGCCTTCTGAGGTCCCTCCATGCATCCTAGTAAACATGTGATCCGTCAGACACGAATAACGCCTCAAATGTCATTTGAGGAATGAAACAGCTCTCCCGGCTACCATAAACGAGGCTGTTCACGGTGTTCCTCAGCCTCTTCAGGCGAATGTCAGTGCAGCTGTTTAGAATACAAAAATTGTTATCTATTTAAATAACATTATCACATTCTCAATCGCTGCAATGTAGCGCTTGCAGTTGAAACAGCATCTATAAATAAGAAATCATAAATCTTTCTTTCTAGTTTACTTCTTTCTTTCCTATTCTATGTTTCTTCTCTTTCATTCTTGCGTACTCTCTTTCTACCGTCCTTCATTTCGTATGTAGCCTACTTCTTCTTACGTGTCTCGCCGTCTGTGTTGCTTAGTTACAGAAAGCGAGTTGAAGCTTCCTGAAAATTACTGAACTTCTGTCGTATCAATTCTCTGCTAAGACCAGTCGGGAAATATTGCGCCCAACTATGGGGATGTGCGAAAAAATGCAACATCGAAGTCATCCAACGATACCAGAACAAAATACTAAGACGCATAGCAGATGCGCCCTGGTATGTACGCAACAGGGACCTCCATCGAGACCTCGATGTCGAAACAGTCGCATCCATTATTGCAAGATACGCCACCTCACATGAAAACCGACTTCGACAACACGTCCAGGCTCCTAAATGTGGGAAACCTAACCAGGCGACTCAAACGGACCAAACCTTACGAACTAGCCAAGCAGCCCGACAGCTAAGGGATCCGATGGGCGATCTTAACTTCATATAAGCTTAGTAACTTAGTGTCAAATTAAAACAGATTGTTAGTTCAAGCGAACTAGTCTTTGTAACATTTTGCTTACATCTTGTAGCAGCCAATAAATAAAAAAAAAATCAACTCTCTTACAAATAAATCAGAGGGCCTATATCACATAAAGATGAGAGTAAAAGGTACTAAATGAAATGTAAACACACGTAACCTTGGATACCAAGAAAGGAATTTGTTGTTCTCAACTAATAACTACTTAGTATTCCAGCTTTTCAAGTCGTGGGGTCCACGTATCTGACAGCACCAAATTCACCTGCCCCCCTCCAGAAGGTTAATGATCGCGAGGTGGAAATTTTTCGCAAAACAAACACTCGATATGGAGGCAATACTAAAGCAGCAGTAAGTGGTGGAGGCACGTATACCGGTTTGAAATAAAGTTAAAAGGAAGGAAGTCTGAACTGGAACCAGGCTACACGTGGCTCCTTTTCGGAGGCTTCATCGAGAAACGTAACTGCCGTTGTAACATTTATAGCCAGGCGTGAGTCCCTTGTGTAAATGTCAAAGGTCGCAAGCGAATTGATTGTCCGTACTCATATGATTATTAAGACGTCGGATATACTGTACAGTATTATTAACACTAAGTTACAGATTTGCTGGTCACCGTAGCCGAGCGGTCTAAGGCATGCACTGTCTTCGCTCGCTTGGAAACCGGGATCGTGGGTTCGAATCCCACTCAGGGCATGGATGTTTAGTTTGTGTGTGTGCGTTTATCTGTGTTTGTGTACAGGTAGAGGCCTTGCGACGAGCTGATCACCAGCCCAAGGAGTCCTACCGAATGTGTAAGATCTAGAAAAACCGAAGTGAACGGAGAAGTTCATGGAGGTAGGCCTAGGCCCACTGGGGCTGTAGTGCCAAGGGGGGGGGAGGGAAAAGTTACAGAATTACAGCAACAGAACAAGGCGTGTTACTCTGACTAGCAACAGAACCGGAACATTCAACGGATATACCGAAATCCACTAATGTGCACGATAATGCTCTAGTTACACACACACACCCTCAATCTCACAGTCTCTCTCCCTAAAATCAATCTTAATACTATCCGCTTACATCTCTTTTGTCCGTTCAGAAAATTTCTCGTCAAAATTTCGTATGCTATCCTTGTCTCCCAGTTATTTACATGTAACTGACTATGGGCTGAAGAGCAGGGGCAGAGACTTTGCACTCCGTCAACATGTGCACAATGACCCTATGACCCATATACCCTCCTACCCAATGCGCATGGGGTGCTCTTTCGTCCACAGTAAGGCTGTCGGGACATTAATTTGACCACTTACCTCGATGGAATACTAAGGTTAGGAATGCACGGAGCTTTACCTCCTCCAATACTCACTCACGGTGCGGTGCTTAGACATGGAAACAACTCTACGTTATATGCTTATAAAATATATAGAGTATGGAATGCACTGTTTACACAACAAATGTTGATGCAGTAGTATCTCCTTCCTTTTGAATACTGATTGTTGTTGTGCAGGCGGTGTATTCCATCCTTTATATGTATATCTTATTTATGACACAAAGCAGGATGAAAAATATTATGATTATATGCTTATACCAAGAAACTAATTCCGAGGCATAAAATAAGTTTCGTAATACATAACTTTCTTGCGGTGAAATTTCCAAAGTCTACTCCCAAATCCCAAGCCAAATGAACAAATTTTGTTGCCCGCTGTGCGTAAATGCCCACTGAACAAATCTACAGATGTTATGTTTCCTTAAACCTTCTATCCATATCTGATGTTACCTGATATTATAAAGTAACTAGCATGATGGGGCCGCGCCATAGCTCAAGCGGTTAGTTCATGGCTTCCCACCGCGGGGGTCCGGATTCAATCCCGGGTCTGGTCAAGTGGGATTTGTTGTGGACAAAGTAGCGCTGGGGCAGGATTTCTCCGAGGACTTCGGTTTCCCCTGCCAATCTTCTTTCCACCAGTTACTTCACAATCACCCTCACCTATCATCTGGGGCTCGTACAATAGGCCAGAAGTGGCCACAGTACAAGGGACTTATCCCCCCCCCCCACTAGCAACAATAATAATAGTAATAATAATAAACTAGCACGATCATGCAGAAAATCGGGACTTTAGTTCCAAAACCCACTTATCTTCCTCGTCGAGTTCATTTACGAGCGTTATTTCTGTGGTATTCAGAATATAATTTTTGTAGGCAGGCCTTAAAAGGAAAACTTTATTCCCACAAACGTCTTCGGAGCTTCATATGCATAAAATTATAATACACAATTTATGAATACACCAACAAAAAACCGAATTATCTTAAAACAAATCCCGCCATGTTCTACCGCAAATAGTTTCATTACCATAGCTATTGTAACATACGAGTGTATCTAGGTTACTTGCTTATTGTCACGGTCACAAAGCTCTGCTTACAGAAGACAAAACGGGGAGACAAACTGACTTCGACTGAAATTCCTTCATGTAACACGATGATCAGCAATTTTCCCGTGGAAGAACATATTCTGTCTTCATTTTTCTTTTTTGGGATGCACCTTTAAAAAAAATAGGGAGGGGTGGGGAGATGGATGAACGGATATTTGGAGGGAGTGACTTTTGGCTATTATTGTATATATGGATACTTGTGACATTACGTTTTTAATTTCTTTTTGCCATTATCCTAATGAAGTGGAATGAAAAATTAAGCTACCTTACGACCTTATTTTCTTATAGAGCATTGACAATTTCACTTGATGCACTGTGCCCTTTTCGAAACTTCCAACGAATAAGTAATCGGAACATACAACATAAAATGAAAACCTTGTTTAATCGCGAGTCTGTACAGTAGACTTGGTCAAGAATTGGGAACTGGAAGTTCAGGTTGTCATTGTTCCTTATTCAACGAGATTGGAACCAGGAGATATTCAAATCCGACGATAAACTAGGAAGCCGGGCGTGGCCACCACATCAAGGACAGTATATGGCCTGCATTTGTGGCTCTTCAACGAACTAATTTCTCCAGAGAAAAACTAAATATATTACCAAGTAGAAACGCCCAGATATTCAGAAGGCGGTAGAAAGAAAGAGTGACAAGCTCCTCTCCTATTTCGTCCGTACTTTAGATTAATTATAGCAACATAAATATGTACTCCAAATCAAATTGAATTATTTTTCCAATGTGATCTATGACATTCTGTACATTTCTTTTTACTTTTTTGAACTGCAAATGGGTTTTTACCCGGTGGCAGTGGTACTACGATAAGACACAACACACAAATAACACACATCACACAAAATAACACATCAAGCTGAAACAAAACACAACATACAAAACTACACAAATAATAAAGGACACATTACACACAATGAATACAATGCAAATACCATTACAACTACAATTAAATAAATTAATATTAATAAAAAATAAGTATATTATACACTAAAGAGTAACAGTAATTAAGCAAGCAATGTCATAAACTGATGCATCCATATGTCACCATGACCTTCCTTCAGTCCACTTCACTACACTTACGCACCCTTCACATCCTCACCACAGTTTACTTCCCTTCACTTCACACTTCACTTCCCTTCACTTCACTTCAGTACTACTAGTCTTAATTTTGAGCAATATTGGTTATTCAGCTAATGTTTTCAAGTATTCTCGCTATGCAAAAGATAAAAAGTCCCTTGATTCGGTATAGAGAAAAATACTTGAAATAAAATTTGTAGTTTGAAGTTTCTTTAATTTAAAAACATTTATATCAGTTTTTTTTTTATCTAAATGTAGACTCCAGTTTCTTCTAAAGAATGGGTTGAATTTTACTAAAGATATAAAAATCAGACATTCCGGATAAGATCAAAGTAGACCCGCAAAAATTTAGTCTAAATCTGTTGAATCATTTCAGACATGAAAGTAGCGGGTGCATGGACGGACAGACACAACTTCTCATATGTACTCGCATTCTGCGCACTGAGCGTCAGCAATGGACGTAACATTGTTCTTTGCCATTGCTATTTATTTTCGTTAGCTGCGTAAACATTTATATGCCAATACAGGACAGGGGAAATGGTTTCCTCAATTGGCCCTCATGCAGAATAAGAAATGTTTACACTGTTATTGCTGCACATTCTGTAAAGGGCGTCTGCGAATTTCTTTCTAATTCATCAGCTTCATTTCATGCATGTGCTCAGGCCGCGCCATAGCTCATGCGGTTAGTCGCTGGCTTCCCACCGCAGCTGCCCGGCTTCGATCACGGGACTGGTCAGGTGGGATTTTCGGCGGACAAAGTGGCGCTGGGGCGGGTTTTCTACGGGTACTTCGGTTTCCCCTGCCAATCTTCATTCCACCAAATTCACCATGATCATAATCACCTGGGGCAGGTACAACAGGCCAATCAGTGGCCGCCGTGCCGAGTGGACCCAGCTGGACTCCACCCCCCACTAAGCGAATTTAAAAAGAAAATTAATTTAATGCATGTGGCCCAGCTTCTATATGTCAAGGACTTCTTGACTCATTTCTCTACTTCATTAACCGCTATCCGGGAGACAAACGTCAGTATGCACGCAGGAATACTGTAGCAGTAAATCGTTACTGAAGCGTGTATCTGCATCTACTCTCTCACTTATTAATTTAAATTAACTAATTTTATTGACAATATACATATATATGTGTGTCTAAGCCTTCAAAGCACCATTATTCCTACATTTTATTTTTCTCTACAGCTTTCATGAGTATTACATTTCAAGAATATAAAAGTAGCCTATAATAAATTTTATTTAACGCAACATGTTTAATTTATATACCATTGCCTTCAAGGATATATACATCGTAAAATGTATTATAATAATTCTATTTCAAGAAATATGTATTGTCAATTTTATATATTAAGGAGCCGGGATAGGGTAGTAGGTATAGCGACTATGGGCTGGTAAACAGAGGGATCGGAGTTCGAGTCCCGGTGGGGGCAAGAATTTTCTCTTGTCCAAGTCGTCCAGATTGGCTCTGGGGTCCACTCAACCTCCTATCCAGTGGGGACCTGGGAATATTTCCCATGGGTAAAGCAGCAGGGGCGTGAAGCTTACCCTCACCTCCAACTAGTGCCAAGGTCAAGAAAATATTAATCTATACATCCACTCCCCCATACGCCTTAATTGAATAGTGCTTAATTAGTTAAGCACATGGAGAAATTTACCTTTTTTAACCAATATTTAGATAATACAGGGACAAAGAAAATTTAAGTATAACTTTATACTAGCCTAGATTTCCTTTAACTTCACTCGTTTTCTCTACATCTTACATATATTTACGGGCATGAGAAATTTTATTTTAATCAAAATGTTTCATCTATATCCCAAATACCTTCAGGGGAATAAAACTGTCAAATAAATTATAATAACTTTGTTTAACAGAATATATTCTGCCTACTTCCTGAGACATGTTCACAGGTGCAAAACTTTAAATACAATTTCAGTGCTTTATAATTATCGGGATTCGGCAGAGGTTTAAGATATAAACGAAACACGTTAAGTTAAATTAAATTTATTAATAATTTTTATTGATGGGGTATATATGAGTGATGTATTAACACTACAATTTTATATATAACAATGATAAATTGTAAATTTTCCTCTCTATGTCATGAGAATATTAATTTCTTTGGCCTTCCTTTAGGCAAAGAAGTTAATTAAAGAAAAGACAGGAAATTCATGTAGCTTAGCAATTCTCAACAGATGTTACGGCGTGAGTTAAAATTTGTTAAAGTATTTTAATTTAAAATGTGTTTTTACACATTAATACCAATTAAAAAAGAGACTGACAATAACAGTGTAATATTTCCAGCCGGTCTTGTTACGTTGGGGGCACGCAGTAGCGTAGTTGGTTGAGGAGCTATGCTACATGGCGGAAGGTCGCGGGTTCAAGTCCCGATGATGTCATTGGATTTTTCTTCAATTGACCTAATCCTTCCGGCCGCACTCAGCCTCTAACAGAAATGAGTACCAGGAAGTAATTAAATAATTTTCCTGGGGAGTAAAGCGCGGCCGGTGCGTAAGACTGACAAACTTACCGCCATCTTTGAGCCGATTGTCTAGATAGTGTAGGACCCTCAACGTCTCACAACCCTATGGGCCTTCACGGCCTGGTACAGGGATAGCTTTATTTACTTTTAATTGTTACGTTATCGACTAATACTGATATTTTTGTTACGTTAAATTGTTGCTGCTTTCATATTATTTTGGAATTAATTATTACCATGCGTCTTTATTAACAAAATAATGGTATATTTAAATATAAACTAATAAGGCAATGGTGAAAGTTGATACTCACTTCGACAAGAAGTAGCCAAATGCCTAGTAACATCCTTTGAAGAAACAAATCCGAGGGGGTCGCCATATTTCCTCACGCTGCCTTCTCCTGAAACAATAGAAACACATCTTACAGCATGATTACAGGTAAATTCTACGAGGAAAACGGTAAAGGTGAAACTGTTCCTGTAACAGGCCGTGAAGGCCCATAGTGGTGTGAGACGTCGAGGCTCCCATATCTTCTAGACAATCGGCTCACAGATGGAGGTAAAGTTGTGAGATTTATGCGCCCTTTAGTGGTGTGAGACGTCGAGGCTCCCATATCTTCTAGACAATCGGCTCACAGATGGAGGTAAAGTTGTGAGTTTTTTGCGCCCTTTCCCCCCCCCCCCGGTACTCATTTCTGTTAGAGACTGTGTCGACCCCAGGGTCATTTTGCGGCTGGAAGGTTTAAGTAAATTGAAAATATTCAATGACCTCGCCGGGAATCGAACCTCAAGCAACTACGCTAACGCGTGCCCCTTCTACCAGGGTACCCCTTCCAAATCTGCACAATCCAATTCAAAAGTATGATTTGTGAGTGTTGATTAAACCTATTCACCAATCCAAACCCCGTCTACAGTCACTAATACACATGAAAATATCTTCCACGGCCTGATATTAGCAATAATACCAGCTCTGATTGTAAAATGCAGAACTAACGTACTAAGACTGTAAATAACAATAGAATAGCAACCGTTCCCCATTGATGTACGCATAAAAGAAGCGTCTTCATTTTTTCTATTAATTTTTCTGTAGCCTATTCTGAAAGGATAGGTTCGGCCAGAACACCAAAGACAACAGAAACAAAAGGGCCCAGATCCGTGCCCTGAGCTGCACTTCAAATCTCCATCTGCATGTCAGCTTTTGAACGGCTTAAGTACGGCTTTTGCCGGGATGGGCATTTTATTTCACTTGCCTTAGGCGTCTCACGTTCTACGGAGTACAAACCCAGTTTTAACGATTAAGGAGTTGCTTCCTCTCGCAACGGAGTAGGCATGCCGAGTTGCTGCTGTAACTGAATGGCTTTGAAATGTCAAGGTTGCCGCTCCTGGTCCTGTCAGATCCAAAATTAAAAAGAAATAAATAAGAAACCCGGATCATTTGTTACGGAGGAATATAATTCCACTAATAACCTTTATGCAGAGCGTGAACGCGATATTTTGATGGATGTTTGGCAGTGGCCTCTCTTTCTGGTGAGAGAAATCAGCTCTCTTAGTCAACACGTGGAGGAACTCACACGCCTGGAGCAAGAGAAATATATCTCGAAATATCTGCGAGAAAATTGAGGATGACTGGATGACTGGAAGGTTTCGATTTAACTGAAATGGGATGGATCCATGAACAATCTGCTAGTCAAATAATCCGAGAGTAGCAAAGACTTTAACCCGAACACGACAAAGGAATTTTCTATGTTAAATTTCTGATATGAAAGAACATGGGCACGCGGTAGCGTAGTAAGCTGAGGCACTATGTTACAAGCTGGAAGGTAGCGGATTCGACTTCCGATGTCACTGGGCTTTTCAACTGAGCTAATCCTTCGTGACGCATTATGGCTCTGGGGTCCAGTCAGACTGTAAGAGAAATGAGTACCAGGAATCTTCCTGGGGGTAAAGGGTGGCCAGCGCATACGGCAGACAACTTCACAGTGATCTGTGAGGTGATTGTCTAGAAAATGCGGGAACCTCAACGTCTCAAAACCCTATGGGCCTCCACGGCCTGTTACAGGGATAGCTGTAACTTTATAGCAAGGGTACAATGCTAGGAAATAATTGCAATGTTAAACAAACGCCACACATCTAGCACGTCTAGGTGCGCATGTCTGTGATAATGTTTTTTCGAATAAGGAAGGAACATGCAATTATGTCTTCGAAAGAGCGCAAAAATTTCATAATTGTCTAGTTGCCTGTGATTTCCGAACAGGCATGAGGCACTGTTTGCTGCCTCATTCACCCTGGTTTCTCGCTTGCCTTATTTTTTTATCCTAAAAATGGAGGCCACCTGCTCCTCCGGAACGTAGTTCGATTCTCAACGGACTACGCGGCGTTACATGCCAATAGATGGAAATCTTCAAAGATGGGGCTCTTTACCCCAATACACGTTTTGTTTGTTTGCAGTTGTTCACAATTCTGACGGGTTTACACGCTTCCAGCATCCGTGAAAAAGAAAACATATATCAGAAAGTACTTCAGTGGTGAAATAACAGTATTTACATGTTTTCTGGATCCCTGAACACGAGAAACTGGTTTTTGGAATGCCGTCTATCTACATGCATATATGTCTCGCACCAGCCTGTACTACTGTATGAATTTTATTCATATTCTATATTTTATCAACCACAGGTCAGTGTCCATCTAATATGAACATTCTAGCTCCAAAACTAGGGGCCATCCAAGGTGAATCCAAAACAAGAAATGGCGATTTTGCCGAAAACGACACGTATGATTTGGAGTAAATTTCACTAATTTATGATAATATAGTCCTATATAAAGCTGAACGGGTGACATCTTCAGGAAAATAATTGTTCGCGCACTAGAGACTCAAGTGATTGACGCAAAGAGCACATGTCCTAGCTTGGACAATCAGCAACCAACAAAAGTCTACCGAGCAACGGTCAGTTTTATTTCCAAGGCAGTATAATCAGAATCAATCTACGTGAAAAAAAATATGTGCAAAGTTTTTGCACTGATGCATTTGTACAATTGTCAAGCAAATTATATGCTGTAATAGCCTTTTCTCATTAAATATATCCGATTGTAATGCCTTACTTATTTTAAAAAGTCATGGCTCTTTCCCGATACCAGAGAAATTTTCCGACACAATAAGGTTCTGTTATAGGGTGGTTTCCTGTAGTTTGGTTAGGTAATTGGTTTCGTTGAAATATTAAAACAAATAACTACAAAGAATTATAGTTCTATCGCTCATTCATACATTTTGCCCCTCACTATAGCACGTAACAGATCTTCTCAGTCGCGTCTTCAGTAGTAGTTGCCTGGCAACAGCTCTCAAGAACGGAGGTTCCCAATATTCCATGTTCAGCTGCTCCTGTTCTCTCTAGCTGGCTTCAGCTGTCATGTCACAACATTTTGTATTATACCACACAACTAATTATTATAATCTGATGGCACAGTAGTTATCTAGTCAAAAAATCTTGTAAAAAAATTGGTTTATTTTATCTTAAGCGATGTTTAGAAAACGACAGTTGGTACAACCTACGCTAATTAACATGGCGACTGGAATGGCTCGCGGGAGATGTCACAGAAGACTGAAGGTTTTTTATACTGGCCCTTGCTCACAGACTCGAAGGCCGTATCGAAATCTGTTTAGTCTGCTACAAAATTCCACGAAGTATATAACCAACCGAGTGAGAAACTAATATATCCACAAACGAAATTATTAATTAAATAACTAAGTAACCAACTAATATGGCCGCGCCATAGCTCAAGTGGTTAGCCGTTGGCTTCCCACCGCGGCGGCCCCGGTTCGATCAAGTGGGATTTGTGGTGGACAAAGTGGCGCTGGGGCAGGTTTTCTCCGAGTACTTCGGTTTCTCCTGCCATTCTTCATTCCACCAATTGCTCCTTACCTATCATCTGGGGCTGGTACAATAGGCCAGAAGTGGCCGCAGTACAAGGGACTTAGTCCAACCCCACTAGCAATAAAAAAAGAACAACTAGTATGTAACTTAATTCTTATCCAACTATATAATAAATTAACAAATGAAGTAACTTACTATCTAGCGAATCATACACGAAACTAAACAAACAACGAATTACCTAACTGAACGAATAAGTCACTAACAAACAGTTAACTGAAGAGGCAACTAAGCAATCAAATGAACCCCTTCAACCAAGTAAGTAATTATGAAGAATGCCGTCTTCTGGAATGTGGCGCCGTGTAGAACTTGTGTGAACCGATGTTCCTCCGAAACGTCGGTTCACAATATCTACACTGCGCCACATTCCAGAAGACGGCATTTCTCATAGTCACCGCCGTGAAAACCTGAAACCTTACAAAGTAATTAGATAGCTGAGTAAATAACAACATAAATAACTAACAATAAGATAATTCAGAAATCAAGCAGCTAACTTATCAGTTAGGTAGTTAGATAACAAACTCCATCCTACATGAAGAAAGCAGTCTTCTGGGATTTGGCACCGTGTATATGTGGTGTTAACCGACGTTTCGGAGGAACGTATCGCCTCCATCTTCAGGGTAGAAGAAAAAGTATAAGAAATCTGCAAGCGACAAGACCGTGAGAACGGTAAAAGCAGACTGTCTTGTCGCTTGCAGATTTCTTATACTTTTTCTTCTACCCTGAAGATGGAGGCGATACGTTCCTCCGAAACGTCGGTTAACACCACATATACACGGTGCCAAATCCCAGAAGACTGCTTTCTTCATAGTCACCGCCGTGAAAGCCTCAAACCATCCTACATGGTCTTCATTTAATAGTTGGGTGTTATTTCTTAGGGCAAGAACATTCCTTTTATCGGACCGGAAATTAATTATCGTGTTCACAAACACTTGCCACTGGACCATATTATGTACCAATTAAATTCAGTCCATACATTCATGCCTGGATTTCTACCTTACATTTCAATATTATCGTTCCATCTGTGCCTTGGTCTCTTTGCTTGAACACTCCGATCAGGACATTTTATTCATTTTTTTTACTTTTCTCGTTAGCAATATAGCATAAGCTGTATTCTTTAATTTTTCTGCAAACACAACTGAAATCGGTGGAGTAAACCTCATTATACTTCTAGGACTCTATTAAAATGGCCAGTGTCTTAAAAGGAAAGCCTGTTTTAAATAAGGTCATGCTATAAGAGTCCTGCCTTTTCCATTCAATCATTTCAACAGTCAGAGCCAAACCTGTTCGTCCGGGTTTTTGAACGTAGAGAATTATCAAATTAACCTTCTCCTGGATATTTCATAATTGTCAGTCAGTGTCTAAAATGAACCTGAACATTTTAGTAAAACTTCATACCAGAATAAATTTTAGCACAAAATAAAACTAATTTGAAGGCAGAGATATTGGGTTTTCGGACTTTATCCATCGTCCTG